GTAGCGCAGCGCAGCGCTAACTGCTACACACGCACGCACACACAAGGATCCCATCGTATGAGGTTGGTTTCATGTTACATTTTGTTCAAAATGCAGACACTCGGGGGCTTATTCGCCAGGGTAGGGAGCAATTAGGCCGCGCGTGAAACAGCTGAAGACAGCAGAAGTCCCGTGGTTATGTAAGATCGGCCTCCTTGAAGGATATCAAACAAATGTCTATGCCCCGCCCGCCCCGACAATGCTAGATGTGATTCTGGTATCTCCAGGGGTGAGGGTAATTGGAACGGTTAAGACATTGTACTGAGTGCTCTTTAACCGAGATGGAAACTGCACAAAAGTGCCGTGGGTGGGATTCAATTCTACTGGCGGGCGGAGGGAGGAGGGAGGGAAACGAAACCTCCACCACCACCACCACTCAAAAAAGCGAAATAATTCCTCGCGACGTGCAGAAGCAGCAGCGGGGCGCAGGACGGAATCTGTACCGTTTGTATATTTTTGTTCGTTTTGTTTTAGTGCCCCGTTTGCAGCGGCGGGTGCAGCAGAGATATTTCGAGAGAGAGAGAAAATTAAAAAAAATCATTCTGGCACTTCGTCGCGAGCAACGCACAGCGGGGAAACGCAGCGAGTGGAGCGCCACTCGCGCAAGTCAATCACCGGCTCCCTGGGTTAAATTTAAGCGGTGAAAGGAGAGACAGGGAGACCTGGGGGGGTGGGGGGGGGCAGAGTGAGCCGGATAATCTCGCCATACTTTCCTCTCCAAATCTCATGACTCTGCTCAAAAAGCTGTCGCTCCACCACCAATCTCTCTCTTTCTCTCGCTCTCTCTGGAATTGTTAAACGCAGGCACCTTTGATGGCAATTTTCATCACCGGGGATTTGACAATTCCAACCGTTAACTAGGATATGAGCTTCGAGTCACTTAAGAATGACGGTCGTCCGATTTGATTTTTAAAAATTATTATCGTGGTCGCTGCGCAAAAACCCGAACTGCCCAAAAAAAATGCTGAGCGGACAGCAACAAACAGCACTATTCAAGTTCTATCAGTAACAAATTAAAGACGTTTGTTGAACTGAGCAAGGTTACGATGACTTAAGAAACGAGTCGATGGGATGATTACTGATTGCCCAACGCTTTCGGAGTAAGCTACGCGACCGTTACCATATTTGGTGTGTTCGAAACAATGCCAACTAATTAGAGGTAGTTATGATTCCTCTATTCAAGTGTACATGCAAATGTGCCTCGTTATGCGCAAACGTTGAACTTCTTTCGCACCGTACGCAGCCAAACCGGCGCTAATCGAAAAGGCCAACAAAAATAACGCCCAAAAAAAACAAAAGCGAATTCTTCAAATAAATTTTCGTGCTTCACTTTAGAACATTGGGGGTTTTCCCCATCTTAGGATTCGCCATAGAAAAAAAACGCGTCCAACGTTGGAGACGGAGCTCCATTTGGGATCGTGAACATTTGCGGGATCGTCAGAGGTTGGCGACGTCTCGGGGCCAGGGTCCTCATCCCGCAGTGGAATCGATTACGTGGCTCGGTGTTTCACGTCGCACGGAACGGGTTCGTGGTTGTGCCCCCTTCGCCACTAGGAGCCGCTAGATCGTCGTGCTGCGTAAACCCGACTTCGTATCCACCGCCTTTGTATGCAATTGAACCTTATGGCGGTGACCCCGAGGTATATCCATAGTACACCGGCTCTCGCATCATGTCCGTGATGCAGTCGTTTTTAGTCTCTGTTGATGGTCGGCGACGCGGCAATCGACTCATCTCGACGAGCTGTACTCACGATGCACCACCACGGTGCGTGCGAGCGTTCAGGGTTTCGGCGCAATCGTCCTCGCTGCGTTTCGACATCGCGGAGTGTGGCACCGATGTCGGATTGATTGGTACCCCAATCACGGAGTTAAGTACACCCCTGGGCAACAAATAGTGTCCCAGAAATAAAATATGTAATTGCCTCCGCCCATTTTGTATTATTTGGTTAACCCGGGGTACCGCCATAAGGATCAAAATGCTGCATTTAACCAAACCTGTTGGCATGATGAAGTTTATACTTTTAATTATTTGCCTTACGAATATAGATTGTATATATATGTGCAGTATACGGGTCCACAGTAGGCACGTGTCGGATTTCGGCCGTCGTTGCGATGGTTAGCTCGCTTTTCTTGACTTGCAATGGGACGAGTTTCTTAAAATCATCCCGCACCCCGCACCCAACCTCCCCCCACTGCTTCGATCCATCCAAGCAGTGTAACTGGGTTCGCCACAATCTGGTCAATCGGCAGATCGCGCGTGGTGGTGGTGGTGGTGGGGGGGGGGTGGCAATGCGTGGGTAGACTTGGCTATCGCGGAAGAGTAGGCCAATGCACGCACACGATTGGCTGCGTACGGCGCGAAACAAAGGGCGCGCTCCCAGGTCAAGGTCTGCGCTCTTTGATGGTGATCGGTGATTTTAGTCAGCGTGGCACCCAAGCTATGGAACGCCTCGCCACTTGGAATGAGGCAATCGGAGTCGGTAGATAGATTCAAGCCTGCTTTGAAAAACCCCATCTCTTTATAAAGTGGCTTTTCCTCGTTAGATTGGTTGGTTGGCCCCCCCCCCCCTGGGTTCTGATTTTAGTTTCCCTGCTTTTCATGCATTACGCATTGAGATCCTAGGATGGAATGCGCATTATACATTTGAATTATTCTGATATACGTACACACAATATATCCACCAGAGGAGGCTCACCAGAGCTTCCCCTTTCCGCAGGCAGTAGCGCCAAGTGAGCCATTGCAGGGCCGCACCTTTACCCCTTTCCACACGCCGGACGTTTTGACCGAGTGAGGGCCTTTTATACGAGCATACTTCACCACGCTGGCCAGTGTGGGTTTGTGAAGGCGTGGAGCATAGCGGGCGGTGCAAAAAGTTCTGTACGGAAACAAGAGTGGATGTTGCTAGCCCTGCCCGCGGTGTTGGCCTGGAGCAGCCTATAGCACCTGTTTTTTGCCTGTGGTTGGTCGCCCATGAATTCACTGACATGGAGGCTCCCAAAAAAAAATTCCTGCTCAGCTTCGCAAGATCAAATTTGGTGACGGGCTTGTTTAAAAAAATGTAACGCGCGGACACGCGAGATCCTACATCGTTCAGTGCGTGCTGCGTCTGTCGAACTGGTTGGGACTCTACATCATTGGACCTCCTTTGCCAGTACCAAAATATAATAATAGGGGTTTTCCCCTTTTTTTGGCGTCCTCTGGTCGAGCACCAATTGGGTCGAGGCTCAAAAGAAAGCCATCCCCTGGTGTGGACCAATCAGTTTCAATGACAATGCATATATTATCAAAGTGGTTTTTTTTTGCATTTGACTGCAAGTATTGTGGTTAATGCAGACATGACTCCTTATAAAAAGGTTTCAGTTTTGTTGCCAGAAAAAAAGGGGGAAAACCCTATTATTATGGTTTGGACTCGCATTTTGACAGGGAGAATGGAGTCATTGCCTTTCTAAACGTCTTCGTCGGTTCGCTGCAACTTGACTCGAAGCGACAACAACAACAACAACGCTCCTGACTCAACACTAGAACGTTCAAACCCAATGCGGAGTTTCGCTCGTATCGAACCGATGCTGCCGAATAAATGGAATCACTTCCGTGAATGGGAGGGAGTGTGGGGATCGGTGGATTGTGTCAACAGTTGAAACATTGTGTATATATACACACAGTATACGGAGACAGATATATGATACAGCCATTGCTTATCTATCGAGTCTGTGTATCATTACTGCGCGTTCTACGTTGTTTAACATATAGATTGCTGATGTTTATAAGTGCTGCGTCTGTATTCACAGCGAGGTGTACAACACAATCGTGTGTCTGTATTTATGTACGTGAAACTACACACCGTTCTGACAATCTGTATAATGTGAACGAAGCTTGGCACCCGAACAATTAATTGGACACGGGTCCGTGTATTCATCTGTGTGCAATTGTCGTCATGCGTATATATGTACGCGTGATAAAGTAGAGAGTGTTGCATGTCATTTATATACATATGAATTATGTAGTATTACATGCGTACCTGTCAATCCCTTATCAGTGCCCTACCTTATTACAGACCCAATGCAGACCCTATTGGTCACCCCGTGCCCCTATAAATCTCAACGTCCATCCTACAAAGCCCCATCACAAGGGAGAACCTATGGGTTGACGGTGATGTACATGCATATTATTTGTATCTACACGTGTATTATAAGTCGTATGAGCACAGTGCAGATGTCTTATGACCCCCCCCCCCCCCAATTAATTAACCCTAACATTTGTTTTCCTTTGCATATTAATTTCTCTTTCAAATAACCCCTTACTTAAAAACACACACACATTAAGTTTTAGAGAATGAAATGGGGCGTCACGAGACATATGGACCAGCCTGTGTACACCTCAAAGCAATTGTGCGTACTTGTATCTTGACATTAATATAATGCAAAGTTTCATTATGGAATGTATATCTGTATGAAATACCACATCTCGTATGCAAATACTTTTGGCACATTTGCAGATGTAAAACACATATATATACGAATTTGTATTTATTTTGTTACAATTAAAACTATACACTGCTCAAATGGATATCAACAAACATCAGGGCACAGGTCTTGTGTTCAAAAGAATATTAGCTTTGTTTAGATAATCACACGTTAACAATGGCCATTAAAATTCGTCATCTGCTTTTCTGCGTTTCACTTTAACAACACTGTATGGCAATATAATACTTGTGTGTGTGTGTATACGCTTGGACGCTTCATTTCATAGCAACTGCGAACAGAAATATCCTCATTTTTAACGTATTTCAAACACCCGACAACATCAGATGACCAGCATCGTATGAAGGAATATAACCGCGTGCGGTGCAATTTGTAGCACGTACTTCAAAGCATCTATCGGCTATTCAAGCATTTGTGTTCCTTACATTGCTCTCAGTAGCACACAACAAGCAACAAGCAACAGCACTGAAGCTACTCACGGTTCTCAAGAATTGAATCTCATCCTCTCCCTCTCCGCCGTCACCCATGGCTCGATCTGGGCTTCCTGTGGCTAGGAATCCAACCCAGGTCCACCCTGCTCGCCGGCTCCTCCGCTGTAGCTGCTGCTCCTGCTGCTTGGTGTCGTCCGGGTCTTTTCAAATAACTACACTAGAGACTCATAATGCTGCTGCTGCTGCTGATGTAGGTGGTGGTGGCGGCGGTGGTGGTGGTTGGACCCGGGACTGACGTCTCTAGAGGAGCGTGTCAGTGCGAGAAGCTGAGACGGACCGAGCAGGTGCAGCGGTGCAGCTGCTGGCAAAACCGGATTGCCCTGTGTGCGCACACGACTAAGCCACCCCAGCCAGACTCTGCCTACACCATTCATGTACGGCGGTGGTGGCAAATGATGGAGTTGGGTGTTGGTGGGGGGGGACTGACATGAATTTCACACAACACGCGCGCGCACACGTGTGGCAAAATTGACTCAGCAATGTGTGTATTGTGTTTATAAAACAAAAAACGGGTAATTATTGAAGAGCTGCTGCCCTGTGGGCCTTCTTGGCTGAAGTCACCATCACAGCGATTGAGCAAATGTGACTGACATAAGGCGCAGTGAGGCAACTATGGGCCGGTTCCATGCACGCTTCTCGTTTAAAATGTATGCTTTTCTGGCCTGCAGCTGATGGTTTTTTTAAAATCCTTTATTAAATCCTTTATATTAAGTTCGCGTGCTTGCTTGCTTGCTTGCTTAGGACCGTGCAAACCTTTCGGTCGTTTTTTAACCCACTTCCCGTGATCCAATCGAGCTGACATTTTGCACACAAACTCGTTGTGCGAGACAATTAATGTTCGTGAAAATTTTTTTCCAAAATTTTACACTGTTTAGGGAAAACAAATTAAATATTTAATTCCCAATTGCTTAATGGTGGCAGACAATCATCTGACCCATAGGTGGCAGCCATCTCGAGCCAGAGGACGAGAGGACTCTAGCCGCCACGCATATAAAGGATTTAGAGTGAAAAACTTTGTTTTTACGGGTTATACTTATTCTTCTTTCTGTTATAATGCAGTCTCTCACCATTTACAAACTCAATTCGCCAACGTAAAAGTGCACACGCACCCAGCCACTGCAGCATTCGTTAATTCAAGAGGCAATCGTGGTGGTAGAGGCTCAAAGAGCCAGCATGATGTGCAATTTGTGTAGATGCATTATGCCTGGCTATTATACATTCAGAGTTTAACTATGTGAGCCTGTCTAAGCACATTCCTGCGGAGGGAGCTGGTAGGAACGTTGGGTTGCTCGGTCGATGGCCAGGGTCAACGGCGGCGTGGTGTATTCCGCAAATATGCCCGACTGTGAGGGCGGGCACAAGCCGGCGTGAATAGGTTAAACGTTGAGTTTTATAAGGGCACCACGGGGTGACCAGCCCCTCCCCACCCCACCCCAGCCCCACCACTCCCACCTCCCACCCTCCCCACCCTCCCCACCCAGCTGCTCCCTCCCTCCCCACCCAGCCCCACCCCACCCAGCCCCTCCCCATCCAGCCCCTCCCTCCCCACCCAGTCCCTCCCCACCCTCCCCTCTCCACCCAGCCCCACCCTTCCCATTTTTGGATGCACGACGGACGGACGGACACAATAATCCCCTGTGGGCTGGTGAAACCAGGAGGTTCCTACCAGTAAATCCAACAAATATGGGTATATCATATCTTGTGGCGTGGCATCGTGGTCCAAACATTCGCTCGAGACTCCCTGTAGAGTTATCTCTCTACCAGCAAGTATCGTGAGCAACCACGGAAATTCAGGAGTCATTTGTTTGTGCGTGCATCAATGTTGAACTTCTTTCGCACCTGTGCGTAGCCAACCGTGCTCATCGTAGGTGCGGATATATCGACACGGAGAGGACGATGCACCGCTGGTTTTTGGGGTCAGGTCACGTGAGGTCACTCACGTGACCTGACCCCAAAAACCATGAAATTGAGAAAACTTGGGTTGGGTTCGCGGTTCGTAATATGGGGCCGTCCATAAATGACGTCACGCACCTGGGGGGGGGGGTCAGACATTTGTGACGATGTGTGACGAGGGGGCGGGGGGGTTTGAGAAATGTGACGTCACATGAAAATGCGCAACTTTAAATAAATATAGGCAACACATTCTACTTAAATAAATAGACTTTTTAATAAATGTTTTCTCCTACAACATCAGAGTGCAGCGCCACATTAAATACGCACTACAATGACAATAGTTTAAAGCGATTTGAAGCATGTTTTATTTTTTTGGGGGGGGCAAAGCTTTGTGACGTCATATTTCAGAGGGGGTCTGACTTTGTGACGCCGTGTGACGAAGGGAGGGGGGGTTAAAAATCGTCCAAAATCGCGTGACGTCATTTATGGACGGCCCCTATGACAACCGCAGCTTTTTTGTGTTTTACGTTACCCTACATCTACCCTACATCCAGAGCCAAACATTCAACAGGGAGTATTTTGAATGCAAAATATGACTGATATTTTATAGTGTTAAATATAACTTGGACGGTAAATGCATAGAATTAATAAAACATTAACGTAGCGGCGAGGTTCAGCAGCACGCGATTTTGATTGATTCCCGTAGAGTTGCAGGGTGGTCCAGATGTCTTGTACCCCCCCCCCCCGACCCCTCACATGTTTTCCTTTGCTAATTCACTTATGTGTTAAATAACCCTTACTTTTTAACACTTAGGCTTTCGCGACCAATATTATTCATTATTTTATATATAAAAAAAACATCTACTCAGTTCTTAAAGAATAAAATGGGGGGGGGGGGTCACAAGACAACTGGACCGCCCTGCAACTCTACGGGAATCAATCAAAATCTCGTGCGGCTGAACCCCGCCTCCTCCTCCTCCTCCCTGTAGGCTGGGGACACCGCGTGGCCCGGCAGACGCGGTGGGCCGCTCTGGTAAACGAGACGACGCCGCGCGTATTTTTCTGCGGCAGCAGCGGCATCAACATCATCTTCTTGGTTCTTTCGGTAAAGTCACGTAGAATGGCTGCTTGCGTTGTGGCCGAAACGTCGTGAGAATTATTTTATTATGTTTTATTTGTATTATTTTATTTTTTCCATTCTACGTGACTTTACCGAAAGAACCAAGAAGATGCCTGAACCTGCGAGAGCGAATGTGCGTGTTTTTTTTTTGTATTTCTCTCTCTCTTATTAATTTTTTTTACGATCAGTGGAAACAAGAAGATGCTCGGTGTATTCGGCACTTTGCTTCGTTCATCATTTCGTAGTTTTTTTAATTTAAATTAAAAAAATTTAAACTTTGCTTTATGTAACCCCCCACCTCTCGCTCTCTCTCTCTCTCGCTCTCTCTCGTTCTGCACGCAGCCCTCCTCGCAGTCCGACGGCCTCCGACGGGGGGTAGCTCATATCAGCATGCAGAGCTCCCCGTCATCTGCCACCGAGCACACGGCCTCCTCCATCGCCCACTGCTCCTCATCCCCGTGTCACGATACGGTTTAGAACCACGCGCAAGTTAATTACACGCGGCAATTTCTACTGTCAAGAATAGCGGTGGCTTCGGCAGGACACATTGCCTGAAGGAGTGACGGCCGGTGGTCAAGAATAGCCACAGCAGTGGCAGCCAAGGAATGGCACGCACCCACGAGCGCGTAGGCCGGGGAGATGGAGCAATGAAATAATCTCATACGATGGAGATAGATTACAACGTAACAGGAATGCGGGATCGTCAGCCATGGTCGATTCACTGCTGGTTTAACGATGAAACGTGTTTTCTGGGGGCTTGTCCATGAAAACCTGTGTTGTGAATAATATTTTTTTTTAAATTAGCTGAGGCAATCCATCCACGATCACCACGTGCTGTTTGAATGTATAAATAACAATTGCCTACTGCATACCGTGTCAACTCGTACGGTTTATCCGTGTTTTTGCACAGAGAAATTGCGTTTTCAGGTCCATGCGGCATACAACCGTTTGAACACGGGCAAACATCTGTTTAGCTTATTTGTGTTTCTCCCCTTGTGATGTGACTTTGTAGGATGAAACGTTGAGATGTATAAGGGGCACGGGTGGACCAATAAGGTCTGAATTGGGTCTGTAGTAAGGTAGGCACTGGTAAGGGGTTTGACAGGTTTGCTACTTGCCCCTGCCGAGATTAACACCAACGCTTCAATGAACATGCCGACCAAGTCGAGTTTGCCATTTCGATCTTTAACGCTTTCCAATGAAGCTTCAGAGCGTCCATGTGTGAGCTCAGTGTGTCGTGTGCACGCTGGGACTTCTTCGCACCGTACGTAGCCAACCGTGCTAATCGGAGGTGCGGTGGGGGCGATAAACTAGACGCGAAAAAGCCAAACGCTTTGCGCTCACAACCGCGTGTTGGTAAGCGGCGTTGAACCCACGCATATGCATGACTTTTTTCTCTGTCGATGCTTATTAGCTTCAGCCATGACAGACGCTGATTGAGAAAAGCATCGATTTTTACCCGTTTACAGAAA